CGAGCGCACAGATTTGCCATAGCCGAAGCTCATAGGGTTTTGTGTAAAATCTCCTAAACATTAAAATTCTTTTCATTTAATAGAGTTTTAGTTAAAGAGGTCCTTTGACAAATGAAGTGGTTTAGATGGCCGGAAAAAAAAAATCAAGAAAAGGAAAGAAAAGCCCATGCATGACCCAAGAACAGGTCGGGTAACTAATGAGATGTTTCGGAGAGAAAACGCATGATTAGGTAGAAAAGGAAAAAGGCTTCGGCTATGGCAAAAAAGAAGTACAACATCCATACGACACGTTTACTAACCCCCCACAGATCGGCTCTCTACTTGATGTACTGCGACATCCACTTGAACCCTTCGCCGTAGCCCATCTTGCGCACGATGCTGCACATGAACACTTTGAGGGGTCTAACAGTCTGATCTGCGAGATTCACTTTCCATTGGCCGGTCGTGAGGTTGGTGAGCCCGAGATGATACCGCAGCTCGTCCTCAGAAGCCGCATACGGGATATCTATCTTGTTCCCGAGCACGAGGAAAGGCGCCTTGGCAAGAGCTTCCTCTGAAAGGAGGGCATCGAGCTCCCTCTTTGATTCCGCAAACCTCTCCTTGTCGTGGGCGTCCACCAGGTATACTGCTGCATCAACCTAGAGAAGAAAGTCGGGAAGATCAATCGCTTGATACTAATCTCATTTGAAAACGTGGGCAACAAGAGCTGTCCCGAGTTAAATTTGTAAACTAGAAGACGAAAGGAGTGGAAAGTCATTGAGTCGCACATCGCCTCCGGCCTAAACGAAATGACGGGACAGGAGGACGCTCGGCGACATAGATGCAGGAGCAAATGCGATCGATATGAGCAAGAGCCCTTCGCCTCTACATTTACCTTTTCGAGTTAGAACTGCTGTCGAAGATCCCTCTTTTTACTAAATGGAAGAGAGCCTTCTCCTCTCGTCCTCAGCAGATAATGTAAACCGTCATCTCCACCCTTATGTCATGTAGTCGACAGATAAATCCTTTTTCAGCTATTTCACGTGCACATAGTTACATTTAAGTTTAGATTCATGATGGCAACATGCTTGACCCTATCGACGCTAGCTTAAGATCCCTAAAAGTTCCAGCATTCTATCTGCTGCATTCATCGGTCATGGTCGCAGAGGACCAACTTTTAACCCAGCAAAGAACTCTCTTCACCGATATCAGTTTTATTGGGTGAAGGAAAAGTTTTTCCGGTTTTCCAAACTCATGGGGCAAAAAAGCAGCCTACTCCTCTCGGCAGGACGATCCACCCCGCGTGCATCATTCTCGCATGAAGATTTAGAAACTATCACAGAATCCGGGAATGAATGAACCAGAAGGCACGCAATTAAAGGGGCATCCCACATCCGGAGCTTTCGATGAGGAGAGAAAAAGAGGAAAACTTCACCTTAGCGTGGCAGTCCCGCCAGACCCTACGAGCGATCTGGCGACCACCCAAGTCGAAAGCTTTGAACTTCATCTTCCCTATGCTCACTTCCTCTGAGGTCGGGAACTGGGTGGGTTGGTGCTGAACCAATCTCTGCCAATCGCAGAACCATATCAGAATTGCTCAGCTTACGTTCAATAAGCATGCGTCCTCCTATGAACGCCCTACATAAACGCACTGCAGCAAGAAATACACGATGAACTGATACCACACAAGTGCAAGAGTCATGCAGTCAGCACGCAGGGGACGAAATGAAGAGAGGCCTCGAGAAACAAAGAATCAATGACGAAAATGAGAACGGATTGGAAAGAGAAATTCTCGATCATGATACGAGAAAAGCAGCTTCAGAACTGTGTATTTCCATCGAAGGGAGTCTCTGTGAAGTCAAACGAAACGAAAGTACCTCATCCTTCAACATGCGAAGCAGAGTGGTCTTCCCTGCATTATCCAGCCCCAAGAACAAGATCTTGGCTTCCTTCTGCCGCAAACCGAGAGACGCCAGAAACCCAGAGAACCAATCCACCAGAGACATCACTCCTCTGTTTTTCTTCTTCTTTACAGCCGAAAACAAGAAAGATTTATGAAAGGTGAGTGCTTGAAGGTTTTGAAGGCCACTTTCTTTAGCCGCAGTAGCAGCTTGGTACCATTTCAAATATATGCGCTTTGTTCTATAGCTTTGGCACGAAGGCTGGACATCGTGATCTACGCTTTAGTTGGGCCGTTGGAATTTGGCGGGTGCTAGACAGATGTACGGTGAGGACGTGCTTGCCGAATGGGGCGGATCAAAATTAATGGCAAGGTGAAGGCTATGCTTGTGACTTCGGGGGCAAACCTTTTGCTCGCAAAAAAACAAGAGACTTTCAATTTAATATGCTGATTAATATATACAGATAGATAGATAGATTCGTGTTTTGGAAATCGGGGAGAATTACCCTAATCTCCTCCAGACTTTAGGGTAATACGCAAGTGCGACTACTATGCATTATCTTTGTTGAATTTTCCATTTTATTATACCCGTTAACTATTTCGGTTTACAAATGCAATGCCCATGGCTTGCGAGAGGTAGTGTGTACTTTCATGTCTTTCTTCTTCTTCATTTTTTCAAAATAAGTCTCTCCTTTGCCTTCGACTTTAGGGAGAAAAAATAAAAATTAATACCACAAAAAACTCCAAACTGGTACACTTGTGACAAATTTTGCCCTAAGCTAATTTTGTTATCACAGAAAACCCCAAACCGATACATCTGTGATAAATTTACCCTCCGTTAGTTTCCGTTAAATTTTACCGTTAAATTGACAAGTTGGATGACATGTGGTGTACCAGTCTGGGATTTTACCTCAGTTTGTGATTTTTTGGGGTATTAATCTAATTTTACGAAAATTAGTGGAGGGTAAATTTATTACAAATATAGGGTTTTAGGTGGTCAAAAAATTAATTTTGGGTAAATTTATTGCGGGTATATCAGTTTGAGATTTTTCATGGTATTAACCCAAAAAATGAAGAAAGGGGAGTACAATGAATTAACTAATATATCAGAAGAAGTGGCTATGAATGATAGCACAATAAGCAAAGATTGTTCGGAATCCGCGGAAGTATTTGTATAAGCTAATGAGATTTTTTAGAGAGAGAAAACATAATTGAGTAGAAAAGGAAAAAGGCTTCGCTAACAAAAAGTAAAAGGTCGGGTAATCAAAAAATATATATATGGATTTTGAATATATTGAACGATTAACCAATGCAAGAAGATGATTGGCAATAATTGATATTTAAAATATCGTTATTGATTCGGTTCCTCATTTTCTTCTTGAGTTGATGCTGTCGTTTCCTTTCAATTTTAGATTTTATTTTTTGAAAAAAATATTATCATTTATTTCCTGCATCGATTAACCCTTTACATATACATAATGATTAACTATTAATTTTTTTATTTGACCTTTTGCGTATTGAGACTTTTTCATTTTTATTTAATTGGTGTTTTTTTTTCCTTCCGATTTTTTTTTTACGTCAAGGAAGCGTAAAAACGATATTTCCTTCGAGAAAACGAGATGAAAATGTATTTCTGCCCTTTGAAAGTCATGCGCACTGCACCGTGCCAACGGTTAAGAAAGAGAGGTTAACGGCTATAACAAAATGAAAGTGGAGGGGGCTATCGTGTAATGATCAAGAGTTCGGGGGCACAGGTTTGCCATAGCCGAAGCTCATAGGGTTTTGTGTAAAATCTCCTGAAGATTGAAATTGTTTTCATTTAATAGAGTCTGAGTGAGAGAGCTCCTTTGACAAATGAAGTGGTTTAGATGGCCGGAAAAAAAACAACAAATCAAGAAAAGGAAAGAAAAGCCCATGACACAAGAACAGGCTTATTCGCTCTCCAACTTTAGAGGCATCATCAACTTGCCATACTACGAGAACATAGTTGATGAATTGTGGTGCAATTGATGCATTACGGCTGCTGAATCATTAGGCAATAACGTGAATGTGCGCGTCATCACTGACAAGCTTCGCCCTTCGTACCTTGTCCGGCCTCGCAACCCTTCGCCGACACGAAAGGATGGCCATCGAGAGGCGGACCAGAACTCTCTCGTTGATTCCGGACCGAGCGCAAAACTTTTATCTGATCACTAGACCTAAACCTTATGCACGACGACCTCCATTGTACTCTTCTTTCTTAACTATCTCTCCTGGCATCTCAGTGCAGAGTCCAGAGGGAGGTGGAAGATCCCGAAGACATACTCTGCGCAGCAGCGGAGGTGTTCTTGGAGGATAGATTCAACGGAACCCCGGGAGAGCATAGCATAGGGAGGAAAGGGGGAGCACGCACATTCCAAAAACCCATACTTTCCCCTCCAAAAAATCTCCCAGGCTATCCAATCGAACTCAGGACCCGGTTGAAATCGCCGTCGGAGGAACAGAAGCTAGCCGGGTGTCGCTTCCACAGAAGGCCGAGTACTTCGTTTAGGATTTCGGGAGGTCTCGATACCGTGCCGGGTTTTGGCGGGCGGAATAAGCCACCGAAGAAAGTACCGATTCCACCTCCATCACTACTCATTTTCAGGAACTCGCGTACCTCTCGATTCCACCTCCCATCACGGCCATTATCGATGATTTGCCAACAAGCACAGCCAGTTGCAACGTACAGTCAGGCCAGTTCACTTACTGGACAAACTCCCGCCCTGCAGTTCTCTTCCGACCCCAGAAGCCACTGGACGTCCCCAGCGAAGAACCATATATTCTAGCCCCGATCGAGTATTAAGCTCGAAAATCCTCGAGAACTACGTTCCCTTCCGCGCACATCGAACGCCAAAGAATCTCATAACTTCATCGGAAAACATCGCAAAGCGAACAGAGCCTCAAGTCACTCGACTTTTTCCTTCCAGAGGCGGCTACTTTGTCACGAGACTTTCGTCGCAGATTCTCTTTGAATCTTACTGATGAATCAGAAGTGCGAAATGGAGATACTGATGTCCAATTACCAGTCATGTGGTGATCAATCGGTGTCGAGTAGCGCACAAGAGGCCGATATCTCTTTTTGCCCGAAACATCCGAACTATATTTGCAGAGTGCTAAGTTCATTTTCAGAACATCAGTGCGACAACAAAAGAAGCTCATAAGAAGTACCCGTATGCTCGGTCGAGACATATCCACCCTAAAACAAGAAATCAACAGAGAGATTTACATAGTTCATGCTCAATGACCAATATTTAGGTCGAGCTTTCGACCCTCAGAAAGACCAGAAATACCAGCTGTGTTATTATAAACTTATATAATCCAGGCAGAGTACTTCGTTTGGGGAGCAATGACCGAGTTTCAATACAGGTGGAACAAAAGCGAACAATAATGTATTGTCCTTGTACAACGAAAATATGTCTATCCAGAAACAGGACCTGTGATCAACATAAATCAGGAAATGTCATGGATCATGAACCCTCTATGTGCTTATGTTTCCAATATAAATTAAAAGCAATCAGATGATTTGGTTTCTTTCTCATTAAAAATTGAACCTGCAATATTGCCAAGAGAAAAAAGAACTACTACATGAATACACAACACATTTACTAACCCCATCAAATCTGCTCTCTATTTGATGTACTGCGACATCCACTTGAACCCTTCTCCGTAACCCATCTTGCGGACGATGCTGCACATGAACACTTCGAGGGGTCTAACAGTCTGATCTGCAAGATTCACTTTCCCTTTGCCGGTCGTGAAGTTGGTGAGCCCTAGATGATACCGTAGCTCGTCCTCCGAAGCCGCATATGGGATATCTATCTTGTTCCCGAGCACGAGGAAAGGCACAGTCGCAAGAGCTTCATCTGAAAGGAGGGCATCAAGCTCCCTCTTTGATTCTGCAAACCTCTCCTTGTCGTAGGCGTCCACCAGGTATACCACTGCATCAACCTAGAGAAGAAAGTTCGGAAGATCAATCATTTGATATCAAACTCATTTGAAAATGTGCGCAAAAGAGTTGTCAGAGTTAAATTTGTAAACTAGAAGACAAAAGGAGTTGAAAGTCATTGGCTGGCACATCGTCTCTGGCCTAAATGAAATGATGGCACAGGAGGAAGCTCGGCAACATAGATGCAGGTGCAAATGCCATCAAATGAACAAAAGCTCTTTGCCTATATATGTACCTTTTCGAGTTAAAACTGCTATCGATGATCCATCTTTACTAAATTGAGAGCCATAGGGTTAAACACTTCCACTTTGTAGCGCAATAACCTCCTCCTCTCATCCTCAGCAGATAATGTAAACTATCATCTTCACCCGTATGATCTATAAACTAATATAGTTGACAAATAAATCCTTTTCACTAAAAGTTCAAGCACTCTATCCGCTGCATCCATCGGTCATGGTCGCAGATGACCACCTTTTAACCCAGCAAAGAACTCTCTTCACCGATATTAGTTTTTTGGTTGAAGAAATAGTTTCCCGTTTTCCAAACTCATGGGGCAAAGAAGAAGCATGTCCATGGATATAACCTACTTGATTCAAATGCAACAAGTCCGGTTTCAAGAAACCAGCTGTCACAAGCATTTCACTAATGGCACAACCGACACTCAGCAATTGTTGGTTCACTAAAATAGGGATAAAGTGCCAATCCAATACCTTAGTCGCATTCAAAGTAACAGACAGAAAAATAAAGATTGTTTTTCTAGATATTGGACAGAATGACAGAATGTAGTCTACTAGACAGCTGACAGTGGAAGAACGCTAGCAAGTCCAAGGGTAGCCGTTGGTGGAGCCTCAGTTGCTCTCATTGCCTACCGTGAAAGAGAAGTCCAAAGATGGAATGGTAATAGTTTTAAGTTCAATCAAGACAATGAGATTCAGACATGACACGAGCTAACAGATCTATACACGGGATCACTTTCGTCTTTTTGGTTTTAAAAGGCTGAAAATCGAAGCGGGATATTATGAGCACAAAACCATCAGGGTCCACAGAGAAACACTTTTGTAACCCCATGAATAGGAAAACATGCCAAAACTTGTGCATCTAGCCGAATCCAAAGCAACCCATGGTGATTTCCCAGTGCAAGACAATCCACAAACACCAGCTGAAAATTCATACATAGATGCATAGATATGTTTCATAATTCGCAAAAAGCAAAAAGGCAAATTCGTGAAAACATCGTGTCATCAGCAGACACTTTGGTCCGGATCAGCAACATAACCGATGCACTAACAAATCTGGTTCTACCGTGGGAAAAAGATTTGATCAAAAAAGAAAGATAAAGATCACACCTTTGCGTAGTAATCTTTCCAAACTCTGCGAGCGATCTGATGACCCCCCAGATCAAAAGCCTTGAACTTGATCTTCCCAATACTGAGTTCCTCAGATGTCGGATGCTGCGTCGGCTGATGCTGCACCAATCTCTGCAAATTCGTCCAAAGAAAACGTCTTTCTTAAAAAAAAAAGAAGAAACCCACATTCCGAAATCACCATCGACAATCCCAACAACAACAACAACAAAAATCACATCAAATCGTAAGCAACGACAGCGAGACAACGAGACGGCGAACGACCTCGTCCTTCAACATGTGGAGCAACGTCGTCTTGCCGGCATTGTCGAGCCCCAAGAAGAGGATCTTGGCCTCCTTCTGCCAGAGGCCGAGGGAGGCGAGAACCCCATAAAACCAGTCCAGAAGAAACATGGTTTTTCTTCTCGATTCGTCGATGGGGGATCGAAGAAGTAGGGGGGGCTGCTGGTTTCAAGAAAGAGCAGTATAATGCTAGATGCGGGAGGGAAGACAAACGGGTCATGTGGGAATTGAATGCGGTTGTATTTATTTGTTTATTATCTTCGTTTTTATTTTTCCCCATTTCTTTATTTTATTTTATTTTTTTTCTTGTTCTTGGTGGGTGTTGCAAGAATTGGCCAGGCCAGACCAGGCCAGCTCTAAGCTTTGAGCTTACAACTGGGCAATGGCAGGAGATGGGTTGTTGTTGACTTGTTGAGCTGTTGTTGCCCCCTTTCTTTTCCATTTCCTTCTGATGTATATTGGACCGCCATCGCAATTAAGTACAAAAATGTAGTAACAAGATTGTTTTGCCGCGTTGTGGTGTGTTGTTATAATCGAGTACAGAAATATCGTACAAAGTGTAATTTCACGGCACGCTACCGTACCTTAGAAATTTCCGGCTTTGGTCACTTGAATAACTTGTCTTTCATTTCACTATCGAAGCAAAGATGCATTTCGAAAGGGCTTTATATCATATCAAAGTAAACGAGTTCCTCTTCCTTTGTGCATAAATTATGCTACAGCATTACGATGTGTTATTATGATCATCGCGGTGTTCGCCTTCACATCGTTCTATCGGGCGATTGTCCAAATGACCATAGGAGAGGATGTTAATTCTAAAAAGAAATGGATATTAAGTTTAATAATGCGTTTGTTTTACGGAAAACTCGAGAAAAAATAATTGCTTATATTTCTTACAAAAATAACCGTCAATTTCAATTGCATATTGATAGTGTTCGAGTCTATATTCATACTTGTGCAGATGATTATTAACCTTAATGATGCATTTGTTTCACTGAAAACTTCATGATATAGGAAAATGTTTTCCATGAAAATCATTGTCAAAGAAAATAGTTTATTTTCATTTGTTTAATAGTTTAGAAAAAGTTATTTTCTTCTGACAAAGAGAAATTGTTTTCCTTTAATCTAAACTCATTTTCAATCCATGAAAAATATTTTCCGTAAATCGATTAATTTTCCGTCATTTAAATATGAAAAAATCAAAAAATAATTTTCTGAAAAACAGTTTGACTCTAAAATGGACTCTAAAGTTGATTTTAGTGGTATATGGCGCATGAGTTTCTTGACCATTAGGTTTGCTTCTGCTTACCATCGGTCTTTTTCATTTTAATTTTGGGGGACCAAAATTTTTGTGGTCAAATTAAATGTCATTGTCCAGTTTGATTTCTACATTGTACAACTCTTTGACTCCGGACATGTGTCATGTGCAAGTCAGACTTTCAAATCTGTCCACCTAGCCTGCCAAATTCTAGTTGTTAAGTGGGTCGGTGGGTGGGAATGGGGTGCAAGGAGTGGGTGGTGGAGGTTTCATCTCACATGGATTTCATGGTCTGTAAGGTGGAGGCAGTCGCCAAAATGGCCATTTCGCCGTGAAACACCCCGCCCCCCCCCCCCCCCGCAAGCTTGGGCTCGTCCGTAGTTCCCCAGCGACAGATCCGCATCGAAGACGCGTTCGCGTCGGGTTACAACCGACAACAAGAACGCATCCATACCACATTTGAAGTGTGTCTACCACATGGGGTGGGGTTCGATAGTACCACATCAGCCATCGCAATTAAAACACCGAAAATACCGCAGACCTAGCAATGACATGAGGCGGACCACTGCATTGATGTTCAGATCCAAGTTTCTCTTCCATCATGCTGAATGCAGAGGCCTCTTATTCAGTAAATATTGTCCATATTTCTAATGAAGCTTGGGGAAAAAGTGTCTCAATGATGCTTTAATAAATATAAGCATCTCAGAAATGCAATAGATAACACAATCGAGAAACATATTACTGCTTTCAAGCCTGGCCCGCCTCGAAACATCCTGGAAACCTCTGGAGATCTTCCCTGGTTTGGCATGTTGGTCTGTCGTCCCGTCCGGATTCGAACAATTTGTTGAATCTCCCTAATTCAAGCACATCTTTCAAAAATTTTATATTTTCGGGCGTGTTTGTCAATCTTAGACTGCAACTGGTTCACTTACAGAGCTTGTAACTGGATGATTCACCTGTTAACACACAAAACCAAGGTTATAGTCTTCTCCACAGACTTTCGCGGTGGGACATCATGACCCATATTCACTTGTAGGTGAGGAATGTCACCTTTGCTGATTTAAAGAGTTCGTCCAGAACTTCAGACAAGGTAGGATGTGCATGGACAGCAAACTTTATGTCCTGCGTGATATCAATTAATATTAAGTGTCAGAAGAGCATAGGCAAGTTTTTGAGAATCATGACTTGTGCCGTGTCTAGACAAGATAGGATGGACCGGGAACAATATCAAAAGGACCAGGATTAAGAGCAGTAGTTTGGACACCAAGCTGTAGCAGCTTTGATATAACCAACTTACGTTAATACTTGTGCCTAATGCTATTGCATTCGACGCTTCGTGAATGAGATCAGCCGCATGAAGACCAAAGATGTGAACCCCAAGAATTTCTCCATTGTCTGGTCTATATATCATCTGTGGGTACATCATGAGAGAGGTAAGCAATTGCTATCTGGAGACAGAAATAATATTCTTAAGACACTTCTGGAAACAAAGAAATGAAAGTTCAAATTCAATCTCTGACACTAAAAACCGAGAATAGTAATGGAGCAAATCTGTGTATGCATCTATTTCCAGAGCCAATGAAATTTGTTAGGATGAACAAAGCTGGGAAGGAAGAGCAGCATGAGAAGGACAATTTGCAATATTCTTAAGACAGAAATAACAAGCTTATAGACTAAAAATGACAGCTCTAAGTTCAGAGATGACCTTTGCAAGCCCTTCCCCTTCGTTTTCGGCCAAGGCTTTAGTATTAGCCTTAAAACTTGTCTTAGCAACACTAACTTCAAATCCCTCCTTTTGAGCCTTTTCTCTGGCTTGAGGCTGCAAACAGAACAATCTGGTTAGATGGCTTCATCACAATTCACAAAAAAAGGAAGAAAAATATCTTCATTATAATGAGAAGAAACACTAATCCCCAATGAATATATTATATGTATACATGGTTCAATCAAATGTGGACTTAGGGTCTATTTGTCTTCTTAGGAACAAAGCACATTTTGCTACTTTTCTTTCTTTCCCTCCAAGATTTTGAAATCCAAAAACATTAATGAGAAAAACTATAAATGGCTCTACATGTCTATATTTGTATGTTTTGAAAGGTTTCATGCATTCATCATGGAGTTAGTCGTATTTTGTATGCTATAAAAAAAATAGAACCTCATCATTTATCTTACACAAACAATGCAAAGTGAAGGATTGAGTTGATTTTCTATTAACTTGACATGTTGTGCCATTGTTATGAGGCTGAGAAGTCACTAAAAACAGAACCTCAACTGAAAGTCCCCAAATCATAATAGATAACAAAGAGATTAGAAAATATTTTCCAAATTACTAAAGAAATTAAAATATAAAAGACACAGGTTTGTCGGCCTAATACCTTAAAAAACCTCAAACTTTAGCTTTTGTCCCAATTTTACCTTTTGTCTCATAAAAAACCTCCAACTTTAGGTCTAGTCCCAATTCTACCATAAACTTTTTTTTGTCCCATAAAAAACCCTCAACTTTAGATCATATCCCAATTCTACCCTAAACTTTTTTTTGTCCCATGAAACACCCCCAACTTTATGTCTTGTCGCAATTTTACCCTAAAATTTTTACAGTCGCATAAAAAACCACAAACTTTTATTTGAATCACAAATCTGTCCCCCTTAACCATCCGATCAAAATTTCTCTTTGACAACTGAGAGATGGAAAACTCTCAAGCACAAGCTCTTAAGGTGTCCCAAGCGTGAGCTCTCCGACCACAAGAGATCGAAGACCGAGCGTAAAATCACTAAGGGTGATTTTGACGAAGGGTTAATGGAAAGCGGATTTGTGACTCAAGTTAAAGTTGACAATCTTTTATTAAACAAAAAAATTAGAGTGAAATTGAAACTGGACCTAAAGCTAAGATTTTTTTTTTTTAGACAAAAAATTTAGTGTAGATTTGGTACTGGATTTAAAGTTGAGGGTCTTTTATAAGACAAAAAATAATTAGGGTAGAATTTAGACTGGACGTAAAGTTGGAGGTTTTTTATCGAACAAAAAAAAGTTTAGGATAGAATTGGGATATGACCTAAAGTTGAAGGTTTTCAATGAGACAAAAGGTAAAATTTGGACATAAGCTAAAGTTGGAGATTTTTAAGGGTATTAGGCCCAGGTTTGTCTTCAAGATTACTAATGATTTTTACCTTTCACTATTAAAAAAACATAGTGAAAAGATAATGATAAATTTCGAATTTCAAAAATTTACCGTAAATCATAAAATATAATTAGAATTAATTCCAGCTCAAAGAAAAGAGTTTTTTCACATCATTTAGCAATCAATGCAAAATTTCAAGTGCTCCATGTGGTGAAATTTTGTTAATTACAGCTTCACAAAATTCCACGAGCAATCCCATACCATAAATTTCAGGAATTCCAAAACTATAAAAAAAATGTAGAAAACTTGATATCATTTTTTTACGTGCTTCATTGGATACTCACAGTCAACATCACCTATTCACACTGTTTCAATCTTCTCAGCCTCAAGCACAAAAGGATCTTCCCAAATATCTTCGACTACTTAATAGCATTGAAGTTCAAAGTGTGATCATCTCTATCTTATCTTTCTTTTGAAAATCTATATCATACAACAGTATCAGGCCATTAGAGAAGACTTTTTCTGTCTATGAAGATGACCCTCGGAACTAATCCATCTTCAATCTGCACACCAATGTGCGACAATTCGAATAAGAATTTAAGACAAGCACAAACAGTTTCTAAAAGCTTACTTGAAAGAGCAGACAAAAGCAGAACCTTCAATAGAGTTCAATCTAATACGACAAAAACTCAACCGCAGGAATGGTATATGTTCTTCAAGTTTCAAATGGAAAAAGCACATTTGGAGGACCAAAATAGAGAAATACTTCTTTCAGTAATATCTTCATTTTGCAATTTGAAAAATTGCTTAAAATGATAGATAAATGAAAAGGATTAACCCTTGAGTGCTGGGTAACT